GGGGGGGGGGCCGCTCCAGAAGAGATGAGAGCACCCCCATAAGAGACTAAGCAGCTGAGGAAGTGGTGGTGGCTCCTTCTGGCTTCTAGAGAGTGGCACACAAGTAGGTAAATGCATGGCCAGGCTTTTAAAAGGCCAGTATGTACAGTTTCATCGCATCTGTCTGCAGCACTAAGTGGGTATCAATTAGTTGGTAAATACAGATTTTTTATTTTTCATGCATATCTTTTATTGAATCAGTAGAAGCTGCATGTGCAGGTTTGATGAAAGAGTTGGATGAAGGGATTACTTTAAAGTCCACTCCATTTCATAACAACATAACATGTGAAATGCCTTGTTGGGTCACACCACAGGTCCATCTAGCACAGTATTCCCATCTCTCACAGTGCCCAAGTATGAATGGTGAGGAAAAGGATGTTTAAGCAGGATATATCCAAACTGTTATGCATTCCAGCATTCAGAAACCTCATGAAGGGCCTCATATTGATGTTACAGACTTATCACATATAAATGCCTACTGATGGACACCCTCCCCTCTTTATGGACTGAGACCTTGTAGTGGTGGGGAGGCTCGTGTGTCCCAGTCACCCTCAGAGCCATGTTGCCCATAGTCTTACACTACTAGCAGGATCATCCATGGTGAACAGGCCTGAGGGGAGGTTCCAGACAAACCACAGTCCAACCCCAAGTCCTCAATGGCAGATCAGGTGGAAGAAGATGTCAGGATTTCAATAGTTATAAAAACAGAAGAAGGCTGCAGCAAGATGGAAGTCTCCTTGTCAAGATTGTGGCTGCTGTTTCCATACACAAGCTTCCTCATGTTAAACAAAGTCAAACACTGATTATTCCCATAAGAAACAAGTTCCTCTCATGTATTAATATACAAAATCCCTGCAGTGATGGATCAGTGGTGATGGAGACAGGTCTAGTGAATCCATCAGTCTTCAGCCATGAATCTCCACATAAGCAGCAGTAGCCTGGTGGTCATCTTGCACCTGGGTGAAGAAATGGGTGCAGTTGAGCAGCTGCTACCATGACTAATCAGTCCTATTCAGGATCCCCTTTGCTCACCCTAAATGGAGAAGGGGATAGAAAAGGTTCCCTAAACCTAGGTTGTCTCATCTGCTTCTGTATTCAAAACTGAATCTACTAGGATCACATCATAAAAAAAAAAAAAGAAAAAAGATTTTCACATTCACACCTTGATGGATAACCAAGACAATGAAAGACCAGAAAGAACTGTCACTGTCTCCAGGGAACTAGTGAGATACAACATCAACATTGCAGCTCTGGAGTGAGATAAGATAAGATATCTGGATGAGGGTCAACTGAGAGAACAGGGTAGATGCTACACTTCTAAAAGGGGAAATGAGCTAAGGACAGAAGCATTCATGGCATCAGTTCCCCATCAAGAATCAGCCCATTCAACTTACAGAGCTCCCTCTGGGCATTAACTAATGTCTTATAACTCTTTGTCTTAAGCACAGCAACAACCAGTATGCTGCCACCGTCAGCACGTATGCCCCAATACTTGATGCTGAATGACATCAAAGAATAATTCTACTCCAACCGTGACCACATGCTGATTAATACTCACAAGGAGGACAAGATTATTATCCTTGGTGACTTCAGAGTTCCAAGTCATGTCCTACTCTGGTATTGGAGTGGCACCATTAGGAAGTAAGGAGTAGGGAAAGCCAACTCCAACAGCATCCACCTCCTGAGCAAATGCACAGAGCATGGGCTTGTCATTACAACACCACCTTCACATGGAGTGACAAATAAAAGACCACCTGGAAACACCCTCTGTCTAAGCATTGGCACCTCCTTGCCTACGTTATTGTTGGAGCCCATGGAAGTCTGTATCGTATGAGCCATGCCAGAAACTAAAACCCAATGTAAAGGACCCTCAACACCAAACTTCTTCATGACCCAAAGGCCTGTAAGGATCTCTAACTGTGTCTCCATGAAAAGCTTTCTGTCCTGTCCACAAATGAAGACAATGCTGAGGACCTCTGGAAGAGGTTTAAAACCACTGTCCATATGGCCTCTGTTGAATTGATTTGTTATCATCATCCATCAACACCAAGACTGGTATGATGAAAATGACACCAAGATCCAAGCCCTCAACCATATGGGAAGGGCTCATTCTGCTTTCTTAGATTTCATAGACATTAGGGCTGGAAGGGACCTCAGAAGGTCATCGAGTCCATCCCCCCACCTGAGGGGCAGGAAGTCAGCTGGGGTCATAGGATCCCAGCAAGATAAGCAACCAATTTTCTCTTGAAGGTGTTCAGTGTAGGTGCTTGAACCACCTCTGATGTATTTATGACAAGAGAAGAGGCCTTATGAGGAGAGGCTGAGAGACATGGGACTCTTCAGTCTGGAAAAGCAAAGGCTCAGGGGTGACTTAGTGGCAGCTGATAAGTGTATAAGGGGTGTGCATCAGAAACTAGGAGAACGCCTATCCACCAGGGCACCCCAAGGGAAGACAAGGTCTAATGGTCACAAACTGCTGGAAGACCATTTTAGACTGGACATAAGGAAAAACTTATTTACTGTCCGAATCTCTGGAGTCTGGAATATATTCCCCCCAGAAGTGATGCAAGCACCTACACTGGATACCTTTAATAAATACTTGGAAGCTTATCTTTCTGGAGTGATCTGACCCCAGCTGACTTCCTGCCCCTTGGGTAGGTGGCTGGACCCAACAATCTCACAAGTTTCCTTTCAGCCCTAATGTCTATGGAATCTATTGCCTGGAAAAAGCTATGCATGTTATGTTTGTCAGCTCAGAGCTGGATCTCCTTGGCTTTATCATGCCACCACTGATTTTTGATTTCCTAGATCCTTCTTTGACCTTTGGATGAGGAACTGATATGTCTCCTTCTTCTGCAGAGGTGAGGTATCACATCAACCTCTTCTTTGTCCAGGTGATGCATCACCTGGTTATTGAAGGAAATGGGGTTGGGCAGACAAGACCTATTTGCAATGTAGCCATGTTGGCTATCTCTCAGAATGTTGCCTTCCGTTAGTCTGTTGTTGATGGTTTCTTTGATCTTTCCAGAGACTGACGTCAAATTGATTGGCCTATAGTTCCCTGGATCTTCCTTCCTTTCTTTCTTGAAGATAGGCACCACCGTGGCCCTCTTCCAATCTTCAGGAACCTCTCCTGAGTGCCACGAGTTCTAAAAGAGTTGGCTGACATCAAAGCACAACCAATGGCAAGGATATTTGAGAACTCTTGGGTGCATCCCATACAGGCCAGCTGACTTGTGGATGTCCAGCCTCTCCTTAGTGGTAGTTCATGACTTCCATCCCTTATAAACTTCTCTTTTCAGATTCAGGAGGTCCATGAGTTCCTTCTTGAGCCAAGCGGGTCTCCTAGCCCTTTTGCTACCTCTCCTATGGCTGCAATGAACTTCCCTTGTGCTTTTAGGATCATGTCCTTAAGGAGCAACCACTCATCATGGACTCCCTACCCTGTCAGATCATGGTCTCTCAATGCCTCAACAACTAAGCTCCTTAGCTTGTGAAAGTCAGCTTTCCCGAAGTTGAGGATTTCTTCACTGCTGACTGATTTGCCAGCTTTGTGATGGATAGAGAAAGTGATCAACTCATCACGAAGCTTCCCTTCAATCCTCAGGTCACTGACTAGATCATCCCTTTTGGCCAGTGCCAGATCCAGCAGTGCCTTACTTCTTGTCAGCCCATAGACTTGAGTCAAATAGAGCTTGTGAATGCAAGTGAGGAAGCTTCATAACTGATAAGCTTTGGATGAATGCTCTTCCCATGAGCATCCCAAAGGATGTCAGGGTGTATGAAGTCACACATTACGACCATGCATCAAGAGTGTGCAGCCTCTAGCAGTTCCCTAGTGAATTCATGGTCAAGCTCTTCCTCCTAGTTAGGAGGTCTGTAATAGACTCCTAAAGTTACATTCCCTTCACCATATTTTCCTTGTATTTGTAACCCGGGTGGTACTCCAAGAGGTACCCCCTCTCCAATTGAAGGGATCAAAGCAGGTGCACAAGCACTGTGGGAGGTGTAGGGACTCTCCTCCCCCTGTAGAGCAGAGCCATACCACCAATGGGGACTTAACCATATGTTCCCAGTATTAAAAGGTATAACAGGCATAAATCAGAGGGTATAGAGGACACTACAATGCCCCAAGGGGGCAGGATTCAACAAAGGTTAGACACTTATTATCATTGACAAAAACAGGCTTAACAAAATATAAAACACGAACAGCAGAACAAACAATACGGGTTAGTGAAATATAAAAAGGCACAAGATGCAAAATGACAAGGAAATATAGGGCCTTGGTACCTGGAGGGGGAGAAGGGGGGGAAAACACAATGGCCCCTTTCTGCTGCAAGAAGATTTGCTTCTTGTTATCTCACTCACTCCAAGTTACCTCAGCTGGGATTATGAACCCAGATCTCCCACATGGTAAGCAGGAACGCTGCCACACAGCCACCACTGGTAGCACTGCTCCAACCTGCTAGGGGTCTTGACCTTCCCGGAGCCCTGGCCTCACATCGAGCTGCCTGGCCTCTGATTGGAGGAGCTAGAAGCAGAGCTGGGAACCCCTCAGGTTGCTGCTCAGATCCTTCCTGGAGCTGGGGAGCCTTTCCTGCTGGCTGTAGCCTCTCCTTGGGGATCCTGGAGCCCAGTAGGGGGCCTCTCCTGCCGGCCGCACGCCACACTGCTGAGGGTCCCACTGCGGCCTGCAGGTTCTGCGCTTTCAGGCTCTTCCAGGGCATTGCTCCTGCCCCACTGGCTCAGCTCTTACCAGCTCTGTGAAACTCCTTCCTTGTTGTCCCTCGCTGGTCTCTCCCTCCTGAGTCAGCCCACACTGCCCCTTTTATCCCCCTCCAGGTGACCCAAGGGGCCAATCGGGACACAGGGGGGTGAGTCTCTGGGGCCTGACTGGGGAAGAAAGGGAATCCCAAGTCCTCCAATCATCTTTTGTCCTTTCAAAACCACTGGGCCAGGTCACTGCCAGCTAGCCTGTCACATATTCTAACCCAGAGGGTCTCAAGTCGCCCTCCTTAGGTGCCAATCTCTGCTTGTAGGGAAGTGTACTGCTTGCTCATTCACATAGAGAGCTACACCCCCACCCTTCCTTGCAACAAGATCCCTCCTGTACAACGTATAGTCATCAATACTTGTGGTTCAGTCATAGGTTGAGTCCCACCAGGTCTCTGTTATCCAATGAGATCATATTCAGTTTTGCTTAGCAGAAGGGCCAGTTCTGGTGCCTAGCTTTTCTCCTCCTTCCTCCTCTTGCCTCCAGCAACTGCCTGCAAACTGCTTCCCCTGTTTGCTGGATCCCTGTAAAGCCATTTACAGCTCAACTTCCCATGGTCCTGCATTCCTGAAAATGCAGGTTGGCTCGATGCTCCTCAAAGACAATGAATCTATCCAAGCTAGATAGAAAGAATACTTTGAGGCAGTCCTGAACCATGAGTCAACTATGGTGGATACCACCATCTAGCCTGTCCCCCAACACCCTGAAAGGGGATATTGCACTAACCCTTCTATCCTAGATGTCTGGCATGCCATCAGCAAAACCAAGAACAAGGCTACTGGACTAGATGGCATACCTGCTGACATCTACAAGGCTGGAAGCCAGAAAGTGGTACTGAGATGCTACACATTTGTTTTTTTAATTTGGAACAATGAAGAGATCCCTGAGGGCCTAAGGAATATCAACATCCTGACTATTTTCAAGACAGGAGGTAAGTCGCTTCATGCTAGGGGTCCCAGACCTCCCACTGGGCATAGTGTCAGTCCTACCCCATCTCACTAGGGATCCTGCCTTTAGCCACCTGCAAGGATGCTAGAACACCCTCACTGCCCACCTTCAGGTGGTGGAGGCCAGCATTCCCTGGGTCATTATCACAGCCTGTGTACTGCATAAAATCTGTGAGGACTGGGGGAAGCCCTAACCCCACCGTGCACCCCCAGCACCATACTCAATGCAAACAGTTCTAAGAAAAGCATTTTATTCTCCTCCACAAACATAGACCCTGTCCCCCTCCTTCAACAACACAGCTCCTCCTTCACCCACAACAGAGTCCTTCCCCCTTCCTCTCCCACAACAGACCCCGTCCCCCTCTCCCTTCTGAACCACAGAACTCCTCCTCCTCCCTCCTCCTCACAGAGTCCCACCACCAACCACCTCACTCACCATCAATAAAGAACTCTTTTCCCCATGCAGACTATGTACAATGCTGTTTATGCCCTCCCAGAGTGGGGTCAGTGGTATGGGGGTGCCTAGGGGGAAGAGCCTCAGGACTGGCATCCAGCACCCAAGCCTCTGGCTGATCCCTCATGGGCATGCACACCGCAGTGAAGGCAGCAGGTGGGGGGCTCACCCAGGGGTGCGGTGCGGGTGGCCACTGCTTTACCAGTGTGGCTGGCTTCCACTCCTACAGCCAGTGGACTGGACCAGCAGGTCCTTCACACAGTGCTGGCCCCACTGCAGGCAGATCCTGATCCAGTGTCACATGGAGGCAGGGCTAGCAACAGAGAAGGGCCCAGAAGAGGAACCTGGTGCAGGGACCAGGGCAGGGGCACATGGCTAGTGGAGGCGCTTCTACACCTCAGTAAAGCCCATTGGGAGGCTTGCTGCTGGGTGGTGGGTGGCTGTCAGGGGGCAGGTGGGGCTGAGGTCAAGGGCTGGGCAGTAAGTGGCACAAAGGCCAATGCCAAGGCCAGAATGGTGGTCCTCCTTTGTGGCCTCTGCTGCCTGAGCCACCATGGCAGCCTGCCTCTCTTGGGCCTCCAGTTGCCTCTCCTTGAGGGCCAGGAGTCTGGCCTGGGACTTGCACTCATGCACAATTTTCTCCACATGTCAAGCCCACAAGTCCATCAGCCACACCTCACCACAGTGACCAGTTGGGTAAGGTCCTGGGTCCATTGCTGAAGGAGCTGGAGCATATGCATGGCCCTGGCTGAGACTGGCAGTGACCCCAATGGTGTATCCCTGGTGACAGCTGGTGCTGTATGCAGCTGCAGGACTAGCAGAGCCTGGAGAAAGTGGCTGTTTGTGAGAGTTTACAAAGTGGCTGTTTGTGAGAGTTTGTGTCTGTCTGGGGGTCAAAGGTGCAGGACCCAGTGGCCAGAGGCTGGCTACAGGTGGTCCAGGGCCACACAGTCCCCACAGCCTTTTAAGGGCCAGGGACTGGGGCAGGCAAAAAAACCATCCCAGCCCCAAGGCTCTGGAGCTAGCCTGTAGATGGTCCTCTGGTGGTGGGGCTAGCAGGGAGCAAGTTTGCTTCCATTTGGCATCTACACATGTGTTACTGCACAGTAACTACTCCACAATTAATTTGCTACCTGCATTTGCAGGTAGTAAATTGACTATTAAGTAGACTAAATTACTGTGCGGTGAGCATCTGCACATGTAAACAGTGACACTTACTGTGAAGTCATTTAGTCTATTGTGCATTAAAGCTTCTCTTGTAGACATACCCCTTATTTACTTTAGGTTTGCTGCTCCAGTCACTTCCAGCATTTGCTGTAGCCTATAATGTTCCTCTTTAATTAAGCCTCAAATAATTATGTCATTGCCCCAGGAGGCTTGGTGCTCCTGCTACTTTAGGAGAAGGGAAGCTGCAGATGGGGGCAGTCTGCAGGTGCTACACGAGGCAATCAGGAGTCATGTGACCCAACAGGGGTTTGGGTTTATAGGATATAAGCCTAGAATATGAGCTGGGGCAATAATCTGATCCTGGCAGCTGAAACGTGAAGAACTCCTGAATAGCAGGACTGCAGCCAGGCTCCTGGCAAGCACAAGCTGGTAAAAGCAGGCAGATGGTCAGGAGGGCGAGGGTTAGAGACCCAGGGGTGAGAAGCAGAATCAGTGAATTGTAGCTCAGGGCAAGTAGGGCCAGGGAGTTGGGAGGTCACAACTGGCCTTGAAGCGATGCCACGGCACAGGAGGGGCCAAAGGTGCAGGAGAGGCCACTGCTAAAGACCGACAGCCTCTGTAGTGCAGAGAAAGGTAGAGTCAGAACCAGGGGCCTAGGAGATAAGGAGCCTCAGGAGAAGCTGGATTAGGGTCAGGATCCAGGTCTGCATCTGGGAGAAGCCATGATGGGCAAAGTGCCTAGGTGTAGACAGAGGGCTGCACCCAGGGGTTGCCACATGGGTGACTGGTACCACCTTACTCAGGGGGGACACAAGCCGCCCCAGCGACCAATCAGTGACCGGGGGGAAGGGTCCCCCCCCATGGCTGATCTTACTCACCAGCTTCCAGAAGTGGCCTTGGTGCTTCCAGAAGTGGCCACGGTGCTCCTACTCCCCAGCCAGCACTCCCAGGAGGGTCACCCTCCAGCCCCCCTGCCCATCACCTAAGTGGGGAGCATGGCCTGTCAGGGGGTGCACATGTACCCCCGTGCACCCCCTACATGTTGCCACTGGGTTGCCAAGATGAATGAAGTGCTTGGATGTGGGCAGAGACAGCTCAATAGCGAACAGTGGCATCACAGCCTCCCCTGGAGTGGAACCCTGTTACAGTCATCTAGTGAGGTATCAACACCATCAATATATTCTTAGAACATATATATTATTTTGTTACTCATCTCTGGTGCCAAAGGTGTGTTAAAGGGTATGCATAAGGTCTTATATTATTGTCAGCAGTGGATTTTACTAGCAGGTGTAATATGGGCAGGGGCTATAGTTCACAGTTCCAAACATCCTGTGGTTTCCATTGACTAGAAGCTGAAGCAACCACTTTTCCCTTGAATACGATCCAGAGCACATGCTCCGAAACATGAGTTTGCCCAAATGCAGGGAAGTGAAACTGAAGAGGCAAACTAGAAAGGCCCCATGAATTGTTCCAGTCCAGGGAGCTAATGAATTGAACTGGTCATAAGTTTTAGGCATTCTACAGACACCCCAGAAAGGGCAAATGCCCCTTTGAGAGTCTAGGTGGCCTATTGGTCCAGTGTGATTAAGATGCACCAGTTTCTGCAGCCAATAGCACATAAGGGAGTGACGTGGCCAGCACCTCATCTGCCATCAGACCATGTGTGAGTGCCCTTTTCTATAAATCTGGGGCAAGGCTTGATCTTGTGCCTCTCCATCCATAGAAAGATGCCTTTACTGCTCCACAGCCACATACCTCCTGAAACACCCACCACAAGCTCCTAAACATTCAATGATCGAGTCATATAGTTGGGATTTTTAGAAGTACAAAGCAGCAGCCTAAGTCTGTTAAACTTGCCATTGACTTCATTGGGAGTACAGATAGACAAATTGCTGTGGTCTATGCACATCATCCTGTCCTTCACATATGCTGTTCACTTTGCTTTATAAGACAGTTTCCCTTTTAGCTTAAAAAAGCACAGATTAACCATTGTACTGGAATGGGGACCATTGATCCATCTAGTCTGTGCGTGGCCTATATTGAATGCTAAAGATGATGAAATGTTCCTGTAGCTTGCTATCAGTATAACTGAGTATAGAACTGGGTCCCATTTAATTAAGATGTGGCCTGGTCCTACCCCGATTAAAGTGAACAGCAAAACCCTTACTTTGCATCTGTAATAATAGCAAAGGTTGTACAATAGGATCTCTAATGCAATTCTGTGTTCATTCCAACACTGAACCACTCTATCTAACAAGGATTCAGTAGAAGTGTGTGTATGCATGTGTGTATACATGTGCACCACCCATGGTCATCTTAATTACCATTTCAATCAGTTACAGCTTTTATCTTGCTGCAACCAGTTAAAATACAGATAGCTTTATTAATCAAAACAAGCAAGCCTTTGCACTAATATACTCTAAATTCTTATTTTGTTAAAGCCAACTCATTGTTTTAATCAGGAGGTCCCAGTGAAAATTTAAATTCAAGGCCTATTTACCAACACAGAGTCAGTTTCCTTTTTCAGTTCACTTATATTTAAACTAATGACACCTTAACTGAATTTTCCTTTGGGGCTCATTCTACCCTATTCAGCTTTGTACTCATATCCTCAGAAGGGCATCATATTAATAAATATTGATACATCTGCATTTGCTGCAGGCTGCTTAATGAACATAAAATAACAAAGGAGACTTAAAATTCTTATAATGGACTCTTCGTGGCTAACAGCAATCACAGGTTCTCTTTACGCTCTAATCCTTGCTAGGATCATACTAATGATGACAAATGACCTTAAATACGCTTTTGGCTATGGATTGTGTAAAGTCACCTACAGAGTAACCTTACAGATAGGTTTATTTTTAAAACAATGATTGTGGGAACTCTCATTTGTACTTTCAATTGCTCCTTTTTACTCCATGCCATCAGTGCTTTATTCTATGATCACGTGTAGTGTGTTCTCCTAAGCTTCGGCATCGATATATTGAAGTCAATAAAATCTAGTTATATAAAACAATACTAATTATTAAAGATGAAAATCCAGAAGCTCAAAAGTTATAAAATCCCAGGATTTGGGTTTCCTGTTCATCCTGAATTCGGCGTCCATTCTGCACGTCTTTTGACGACAGACAATTTTTTCAACAGAGGACATGCACAATGTTCAAAAATTTAGTTATTCAATATTTCTTCTAATCTTCATTATTCAGTGTTTGACCCCCAGGACTTCAGACTGCTCAAAAATCCTGCTCTGAGAACAAAATCATTAATTGCCTTCTGCAGTTCTTATTGACACTGGCTTTATGACCCAGATACTTTGTTATGGGCAAACCCAAACCTGCAGACCAACCATGACCCATCCATTTGATAACAGGTGAATTTTATGATAACAGAAAAGAATAATGCAAACAATCCTATATCTACCAGTCCTGGAGTTCACAGAATCAAGGTATGTCTGGCCAGTACACAAGCTTCACTCTGAGGTTCTCTTGAATGTCAGATATCAGCACCCTGGAGGTTAGAGGCCAAGGCCCACCCCTGCAGTGGGGTGGGTGAGATGAGCTGGTGGTGTGCCCTCTGTCCATAGTGGCCTTGAGTTTCCCTCTCAGGAACACTTTGCTGCTCTGCAATCCTTCCTTCTGTATTTGTTTCCCTCTGTGATGACTCTTCATCTTCGGGCATCATAGATTGGTCTCCCTGTGGTTGTTATACTGCCCACACCAAGTCAGCATATTCCTTTGTTTCACAAACCCATCACATGCACACATCCTAATTTGGGCTTTATTGGTTTCTTCTAATTTGGTCCATCCACCAAAACCAAAAATACCAAGGGCTCTGTAGCTGGGCACTGTGACCTGGCACCAATGCTGTAGAGTTCCTTATCTCATGTTATGAAACAGTGTGGTACATGTCTTCAATTTCCCAGCCAGTGTGTCTGCTTGCTGCTTACCTGTGGCAGTCATAGAGGGCTTTGAAGGAAGCTGTCACAAACAGGCTTTTAGAAATCAAATATCCCTTGTCGTTGCCCTGGATCATTGTTCTAATAAAAATCTACTTTACCTACAAGCCATTTCCTAAAAGCAAACCTATAAAAACCATTTTCTAGCCATCAGTCCTCACTAGAGCATTTGTTAATCTATTCACAGATATTAATCCATTTATCTTTAAAACTTCCATATGAGGTAAGAAGTGGTATTATCACCATTCTATAGATGGGAACTGAGGGTGGAGAAATTCTCTCTGTCCTCTGTTCTCTCCGATCATCCACCCAGTATTGCTTGTGCCACCCTTCCACTCATTATTTCTAAAGTACCTGTCACACTGGTGTCTAAAAATGATGGGGTTTATATTTTAAACCAAACACATGCACACCCTCCCTCATGAGAAGGAGAGACCATTTGCAATGACTAACTCATAAAGAAAAATCAGATAGTACTAGTTACAGACCAAGCTGCATTTATATTGCAAAGAGAACCACTGAAGAGCATATTATTTGCTTCATAAACACAGATTAAATGCATCACAGACATGTAAGCCCATCCCTTTCTGCCAGAAATACATAAAGTTAAAGCAGTTCACTCCCAGGAGTCTGCCTTATCTTGTTGGAATGGCACTGAGTGTTAGCATAGAAGAAAGACAAATGTCAGCCATTCAATTGGCAAATAAACTTTCTGAGGCCCAGTGACATGTTTGAGAGAGTCCCTTAACATTTTTATCTTGTGAAGCACTCTTCACCTATCTGCATCTCTCTTGCAGGCCATGAATATTGACATAAAAGAAAACTCCTTTTCAAAACAGCTTGCTAGTATGCTGCTGACAATGTCCCCTCAGGTGCACTTAATTGCAGTGTGCCAGCGCAATGAAAATAAACAAAGAACAAGAAAGATTTCCCATTTGTGGTGATAAACCACTTTCTTGATTAAGTAATCTAGAAAGCATTATGATTATGCTATATTTTGCTTTTTTAATTCTGGGAAATTTCCATGGTAGATGTCATATTATACAAAACAGATCTGAGAAGTGAAATCTGGCATTATTGTTCACCCTCCCTCATAATTCAATGATGCCTAAAAGAAACAAATAAAGAACTGTTTTTTTCATATAACAACAATCATATTATGGACCTCATTGCCACAGGATATCACTGGTTAGCAGGATTCAAAAAGGGATTATTCACTTTTATGGAGCATGAGGAAGCTTGGTATTGCAATGGTAAGGGTTCTAAAAAGTCAGTCAGAACATTTTTAGCACAAAATTTAGGTTTCATAAGAGCAACATAAAGACTCGGGGTTAATACATATGGCAGGGGCATGGTTATTTTATTTTTTTTCTCCCCACCCCCCACCTCCCTGGTACATAAGCTATAGCTAGCCATAATTTTTACCATCATGACTTTAGATGAAAACCTGATCCAATTAATAACATCTTCTTACCTACTGGATTTCTTTACTTAAAAAACAAACAAACTAAAATGATATTTTGACTGTAACTTCTTACTTGGACAACATCATTTCACTGCTAAATGATATCAGAGGTGGCAATCCCTCAATTTTAGGATGATCTGTACCATAGCTCATTGATGGATCTTGAGGTGACTTAGGAGTCTAATCCTTGACCCACAGATCTGTCTGTAGAAGTTGGATCCAGTGTGGTCTGGAGGTTGTCCTCAGTGTGCACAAGGATGGCATAAGTCATCATCTCATTGAAAGTCAAGAATGGTTGTTCTGAGTACTTTGGTCCCAGATTGAAGGACCCTCCGTCTATTCAGCATTTAATGACAATTCCAGAAGGAAGAGAGTCTGTCACCGGTACATGCTGTAGGGCTTGTGATGTCAGGGTGGGATCCTGGGTTGGCACCACCTGTATGTTCTGGCCACTGTTTCTGCTCACCCTCCATGACCTGATGTTCTTCTTGGGAGACTGTTCCCAACAGGTGGCTTGTACTGCCCGGTGAGCACCAAAGATCATGTCACTTGCCTCATGGGATGGTCTGAAACCAAACTGAGATTCTAGCAGGACTTCCTCAGCAAAAGGCTGAACAGATATTTGGCTGGGTTGATATGAGTACAGCACCCATTCCTGCCCGGGCCAGGGGGTCAGAACTGATGATCTGTTTAGGTCCCTTCCAACCCTAAGCACTATGAAACTATGAAAAGGTAGAAGATAGTTCAGGAGAATGCAGGCAAGGATTTTCTCTGCTGTGGAAAAGAGGGTGAAACCTCAATAGTTCCCACACAAAAATTTACCTCCTTTCTTGAAGATAGTCATGATGTTGGCATTCCTCAGTTCTCCAGGGGTATGATCCAGTCCAGTGTCCTGGGTGTTCTTGGTTTCCTTGATGGCAGGCCAAACTTCCTGTAGGATAGGAGGGTTGGTGAGTAATCCCCTTTTAGGTTATTGGGGGATAGACTCAATAGTGGTATCTGCCACAATCAACTCACAGTTCAGGAGTACCTCCAAGTGCTCTTTCCATCTAGCTCAGCTAGATTAAGTGTCTTTGAGGAGTGTTGAGCCATTCTGAATCATAAAAAAGTAGGACCATGGGAAGTCGGCCCATAAATGGCTTTCATTGCTTTGAAAAAAAACTATGTATGTCATGCTTGTCAGCATAGAGCTGGATCTCCTTGGCTTTGTCTTGCCCCTGTTGATTTTTTATTTCCCACATCCTCCTTCAAGCTTCAGCTTTGAGGAGATTTGAGTTTCTTATACAGAGATAGGGTGTCATCCTGCTAAGAAGAATGAGCCCTTTTCTAAAGGTTGAGAAGGATTTGGATCTCAGTATCATTCTCATCATACCAGTCTTGGTCTTGATGGGTGATATAGAAAGTGGATTCAATGTAGGCTATATGGAGAGTGGTTTTAAACCCCTCCAGAGTTCCTCAATGTTGCCTTCATTTGTGGACAGGACAGAGAGCTCTTCATGGAGACATAGTTGGAGATCCTTACAGGCCTTTGGTTCTTGAAGAAATTTGGTCTTGAGAGTCCTTCACATTGCTTCTGGTTTTTTGAGCAAGCTGGATATTGATAATGGGTCTGTCCAGCAGTTATAGTGCCCTTGCATAGCTCATGTGATAAGGACATCCTTTCAATCACAGGCTGTAACAACAAAATAGTTGTGGAGGTGCCAGTGCTGTGAGTGAGGGTGTCTCTAGATGGTCTTACATTTGTCACCCCATCTGGAGATCTTTGTGATGACAAAGCCATGCTCCGTGCATTTGCTCAGGAAAAGGAATCTGTTTGAAGTTGACTTTCTCTACTCTTTCTTTCCAACTTGTGTTACTCCAGAGTTCCAGGTCATATCCAACACTGGCATTGAAGTCACCTAGGATAATTGATCTTGTCCTCCTTGTGAGTATTAGTCAGTACGTAGTCATTCTCAGAGTAGAAATATTCTCTGACATCCTTGTCAGCTTCAAGTGTTAGTGCATACACATTGATGGTGGTGGCATACTGGTTGTTGTTGAGCTTAAGATGGAGGGTCCTAAAACATTTATTAATGGCCACAGAGTGCTCCATAAGTTAACTGATGAGCTGATTCTTGATGGTAATGCCAAATCTGTGAACACATCTGTCATGGGCCACTTTCCCCTTCCAGAAGATGTAACTTCCACTGTCATGTCTTCTCTTAGCTGACCCTTATTTGGTAATCTTGTCTCATTAAGAGCTGCAATGTCAATTTTGTAACTCACTAGTTCCTTGGAGATTATGGCAGTTCTTTCTGGTTGCTCATTGTCTTGGTTATCCATCAAAGTGCCTATGACCAGGGAGCCAGTGAACAGGACTGCAAACAGGGGAAGCAGTTTGCAAGCAGTTGCTGGAGGCAAGAAGAAGATGCAGGAGAGAAGCCAGGCACCAGATCCTGCCCAGGAAAGGTAAGTGATCCACCTGCCCGTACCTTTGGTTTTTGCTGATTGTTTCTTTGGTGGACTGTGTGTCTGGGGTGTGTGCTCTGAGAAGCTGGGAGTGACTTCTGACTGCTGAGTGAGTGCTGAGTGCTGATTGTTGATTGCTGTGGGATTGTTGACTGCTATGTGGTTGCTGCCTGGGCCTGAAAAACAAAGGGGCTGAGTCAGCGCAGGCCCAGAAGGGTATAAAAGGAGACTCCCCAGGTGACCAGGGAGCCTGTGACCAGGGAGCCAGAGAACAAGACTGCAAGTAGGGGAAGCAGTTTGCAGGCAGTTCACAGGCCAGTTTGTGGGTAGTAGCCACACAATTGCCCTCAGCCCTGGCGGTGACTCATTGTACCCTCAGGCATCCTGGCATCACTGAGACCTTCACCCAGAGCCTTTGGCCCCAGATTGCGGGGGATGCCTGGCACAGCTGCTGGCAACTGAGCACAGGGGCACCCCCACTTGTGGGGTGTGCTTCCTGGTGGAGTCTCTGGAGGGCCGGGTGTGGGAGCTCAAGGAGGAGATTTGTCAACTGTATACCATCAGGGTCCATGAAGACTTCATTGATGGCTACCGCCAGACCTTTCTCCAGAAGAAGGAAGAAGAGAAAGAGAAAGAGATGGTGGCCAATGTGATGGCTAACCAAGAAGACCTACCCAGCGCAACCTGGAAGACAGTCACCTCATGCTTCAAGAAACACAGGGCCAGGGCTGTTCCTCCCCTGGCCCCGCATAACAGGTACACTCACCTCCGCACACGAGGAGGTTCCGATGGTGACACTGGAAGTGAAGGAAGGTAAGCAGCTGGCTGCCACCCCAGAGAGGAGGAACAAGGTGGTGGTGAGGGGGGGACTCCCTCTTGCGGGGCACTGAGGGACCCCTCTGCCATCCGGACCCCCTAGTACATGAGGTCTGCTGCCTCCCAGGGGCTTACATCCGAGATGTAGCAGAGAGAATCCCCAGGCTCATCTGGCCCTCCAACTACTACCCCATGCTCCTCATCCATGTGGAAACTAATGACGTGGCCAGGAGTAATCTAGACTGGATCATGAGTGACTAGAGGGCACTGGGGGCTGGGCTTAGGGGATTGGGGGCCCAGATAGTTTTTTCTTCTGTGCTCCCTATTTCAGGCCGCGGTCCCAGGAAGGAAGGATGAATTGAGGAAGTGAACTGGGGACTCTGACACTGGTGTCACTGAGAAGACGCTTCAGATACTTTGACCACAGCACACACTGGGAAGGGATGGCATCCACCTCATGAGGAAAGGTAAGTCCCTGTTCATGGCCAGGATGGCCGACCTTTTGGACAGGACTCTAAACTAAGATTGCGGTAGAATGGAGATACACAAGTTCAAACATATCCAGGGATCAACATACAAGTAAGGCCTGTAAATAGGGACACTGGGAGAGCCACTTTTGTGGGAACTGAGGGAATAGTTCTCCACCAGCAGGACAGGACGGTAAGGACCTCAGTAGGAGGACTCAGGTGTCTATATACTAATGCCATGAGCATGGGGAACAAGCAGAAGGAACTAGCCCTCCTACTCTTCAGTGTGCATTATTGTCTAGTAGGGATTACAGAGACTGGACTCCTCACATGACTGGAGCATAGCTATAGAGGGCTACACCCTACATAGAAGAGACTAGGTGGGGAAGAAAGGTGGAGGCATTGCTCTCTATGTGAAAGAGTAGTACACCTCCTTGGAGCTAGCATCAGCTCCAAAAATGGACAGCTTGAAACCATCTGGGTCAAGTTGGGGGTGGGGGGGAGAGAGAGACCTAACTGTAGGTGTATGCTACAGACCACCACATCAGGGGGAGGAACTCAAGCTGGAGTTCACCCGAGAATTCACTGAGGCCACACGTGCATGTGACATGGTCATCATGGGCAATTTTAATTATCCAGACATCTCCTGAGAGGAACACTTAGCCAAGCTGGATTGGTTGTGATCCTTCCTGACCTGTGTCAAGGATCTCTTCCTGACTCAGGAGGTGCATGGGCCAACCAGAGGTGACTCTCAGATAGACTTGGTTCTGGCCAAAGGAGACTATCTGGTGATTGACTTAAATATAGAGGGAAGTCTGGGCAACAGTGACCATGAAACCATTATGTTCACTGTCCGACATAAGGTGAACAAATTGGATAGCAGGATTTAAGTCTTGGACTTCAAAAATGAAAATTTCAACAAACTTAGGTCACTAGTAGGGCAAGTGCTGCGGGACCAGGGACCAAAGGCGAAAGGTGTGCATGAAGAGTGGTTGTTCTTAAGGGTGCAATCCTTGAAACACAAAGGAAGTCCATTCCCATGTTGAGAAAAGGTACCACAAGGGCTGGAAAGCCCTGTTGGCTAAAAAAGGAAATCATGGTCCTCTTAAGAAAGAAGAAAGAGGCTTATAAACAATGGAGCTCAGGACAGGCCCCAATGAGGACTATTCCACAATGGTCCACATTTGCAGGGAACAGATAAGGCGGCAACTGAACTTAGATTAGCAACAGAAATCAAGGACAACAAGAAGTCCCTCTTTAGGTACATAGGGAACAGGAGGAAAACAAATGGGAGTGTGGAGCCATTGCTTAACAACTCAGGAGAGATGGTTACTGGTATCCAGGAGAAAGCTGAACTCCTGAGTAACTACTTCACCTCGATCTTTTACTGGACCAAGGGGAAAACCACGCCAGGTAGAGGAGAGGCTGAACACGGTAGGAATAATCACCTTCTTACTATTGCTGTAGAATTGGTGCATGGCCATTTTAAAAAATTAGATGTACTTAAGTCAGTGGGACTGGATGAACTTCATCCAAGAGTGCTGAAGGAGCTGGCTGAAGTCATTGCAAAATTCCTGGCAAAACTCTTCCACAACTCATAGCACTCTGGCCCTCTTCCAGTCTTCAGGGACTTCTCCAATGTCACGGCCATCCACAAGAAGGGCAGGAGGGAAGACCCGGGTAACTATAGGCCAATCAGACTAACTTCCATCCTAGGGAAGATCCTATAAAAGTTCATCAAGGAGTCTATCTGCGATAAGCTTGCAGAAGGTAAGATTCTGAATGACAGCCAGCATGGCTTCATCACAGGCAGGTCTTGCCTTACCAACCTCATCTCCCTCTATGACCAGATAACTCACTACCTGGACACAAAACAGCAGGTTGACATTGTAGACCTTGACTTCCAAAAGTCCTTTGATCTAGTATCCCACAATGTCCTCACAAGAAAATTGGAGGACTGTTGGCTTAACTTCAAGACAGTCTGGTGGGTGAGAAACTGGCTGTAGGATAGGACCCAGAGAGTCATACTGAATGGATCTGTGTCATCCTGGTAAGCAGTGGGCAGTGGTGTCCCACAAGGGTCAGTGCTCGGTCCAGTATTTTTCAACAGTATTTACCAATTTGGAAGTGGGGGTGAAGAGCTCACTGGCCAAGTTCACGGATGACACCAAGTTATGGGGAAGTGTGGTCATGCTTGAAGATAGGCTACAGATACAGGTGGACCTAGACAGGCTAGCAAGTTGAGCAGATCAGAATCTGTTGAAGTGGAATGTTGAGAAATGTAAAGTGCTCCACCTTGGGACAAGCAACTCCCAACACACCTACAGGCTTGGCAGCACCAAACTGACTAGCACCACGAATGAAAGGGACCCGAGGGTAATAATAGACCACAGTATGAATATGAGCTGGCAGCGCGATGCTGTAGCTGGTAGGGCACATAATTCTCTGGCATGCATCAATTGATACATCTCCAGCAAAACCAAGGAGGAAATTCTTCCACTGTACTCAGCACTGGTGAGACCATAGATGGAGTACTGCGACCAGTTCTGGGCACCACACTTTAACAAGGACATAGTGGGCTATAGGTTGTTTAGAAGAGATAGGAAGGGGAAAAAAGTGTGTGTGTGGGGGGGTTGTGCTCTATGTTAGGGAACAGTATACTAGTTCTACCTTCCAAATGTGACCAGAGGAAGGCTTAACTGAGACCCTGTGGGTCAAACTCCAAGGAGGGTGGGGGGAGAGGGATCTGGTGGTAGGGGTTTACTACAGGCCACCATATCAGGAGGAAGAGCTGGATCTGGAATTCTCCAGGCAGCTTGGGGA